CTCCATGTGAACAGAAGAAGCATTATGAAGTCGAGATCGGTAGCAAACATCATGGACAGAGCAATCTGTTGCGGCATGGACAAGACGGCAGTGACGTGCACAGGGGTGGCGCAGTGGTCAGCACGCATACTGTGGTCCGGAGACTCACAGAGAGACCCATAGACTCACACAGAGACCCATAGACTCACAGAGAACAATAGACTCACACAGAGACCCATAGACTCACACAGAGACCCATAGACTCACAGATATACCCATAGACTCACAGATATACCCATAGACTCACAGAGATACCCATAGACTCACAGAGGAACCCATAGACTCACACAGAGACCCATAGACTTACAGAGAGACCCATATACTCACAGAGAGACCCATAGACTCACAGAGAGAACTATAGACTCACAGAGGGACCCATAGACTCACAGAGATACCTATAGACTCACAGAGAGAACTATAGACTCACACAGAGACCCATAGACTCACAGAGAGAACCATAGACTCACACAGAGACCCATAGACTCGCAAAGAGACCATAGACTCGCATAGAGACCCACAGATTGGCATAGAGACCCACAGATTGGCATGGAGACCCGCACTCTGACACGGAGACCCATAGACTCGCACAGAGACCCGCAGACTCGCATAGAGACCCACAGATTGGCATAGAGACCCGCACTCCGACACCGAGACCCATAGACTCGCAAAGAAACCCACAGATTGGCATGGAGATTCGCACTCCGACACCGAGACCCACAGACTCGCATAGAGACCCACAGATTGGCATAGAGACCCGCACTCAGACACCGAGACCCATAGACTCGCATAGAAACCCACAGATTGGCATGGAGATTCGCACTCTGACACAGAGACCCATAGACTCACATAGAGACCCACAGATTGGCATGGAGACCCATAAACTCGCACAAAGTCCCGCAGACTCGCATAGAGACCCACAGATTGGCATGGAGACCCATAAACTCGCACAAAGACCCGCAGACTCGCATAGAGACCCACAGATTGGCATGGAGACCCATAAACTCGCTAAAAAAGACCCGCAGACTCGCATAGAGACCCACAGATTGGCATGGAGATTCGCACTCTGACACAGAGACCCATAGTTCTAGATTTGAAGCTTTCGTGACTGCAAGGATTCATATTCTTAGGTTTTTTCGGTAAAGTCACGTAGGTAAAACATCAAAATTAATAAAAATAAAAAAAATCACGACGTTTCGGAGGCAACACAAGTCTCCGTCATCAGGATGCAGCTAATCCGGCTGTGACGGTCCCACCTGATGACGGAGACTTGTGTTGCCTCCGAAACGTCGCGATTTTTGTTTTATTTTATTTTTATTAATTTTGATGTTTTACCTACGTGACTTTACCGAAAAAAACCTAAGAATAAGAGACCCATAGACTCGCATAGAGACCCACAGATTGGCATGGAGACCCATAAACTCGCACAAAGACCCGCAGACTCGCATAGAGACCCACAGATTGGTATGGAGACCGGCACCCTCACACGGACACCCATAGACTCGCACAGAGACCCACAGACTCGCATAGAGACCCACTGGCGTAGTTACCGCACCCATCAATAATTGTCGCTTTTGTCACGGCGGTCACGATGCTTTTCGCCAGGTCGTCAGTGATGTAGCGCTCAGGAACGCTTCGACAGCTGATCCGCGAGTTACGTAACATCGCGTAATATTTTCACACGGAGTTGTAGTGGTGGTGCTAATATCGGCTTTCGCGACCAAATATTAATCGGGATAAAAGGGGTTTTTTTGCAGGGGGGGGAGGAGGGGGATTAGATCGCGTAATTAGAAATGTGTCATTAGCTCACCACAACCCGACACAGACAATTCATAAATAAAACTAATGTTTTTTTATTTTACTGGGTGGAAGGTTCCACTAAGGCTATCATGCAGCCGTTCATCTTCTTGGTTCTTTCGGTAAAGTCACGTAGAAGGAAGTAATAAAATAATAAAAATAAAACATAATAAAATAATTCTCACGACGTTTCGGCCACAACGCAAGCAGCCGAAACGTCGTGAGAATTATTTTATTATATTTTATTTTTATTATTGTATTACTTCCTTCTACGTGATGACTTTACCGAAAGAACCAAGAAGATGAATCCCTGCAGTCACGAAAGCTTTAAATCGAAAAAAAAAATGCAGCCGTTCCTTTCAGAATCGAACCTTGGGCTAGCACACGTGATAACAGATTCAACGAAGTGGCTGTCCTCATAATCATCATCGCGTGGATATCTATAGCATAATCGCGTGATTCTCAACAGCAGGCAGGCATCGTCAGGGTCCCGGATCGAACCAACGACCTCCTGCATACGAGGCGAGGGACCTAACATCTCCCTCGCCACCGACGTCGCAATGGATTTCTCTGTCGATCGCGTTCGCCACGGAACGCAAACTCAACGCGACATCGAGCGTTTGTCCCCTTCCTTTAATTTCTAAAGATCTCCTCGCCGTTACCAAGACACAGCTTTAGAAGCCCCGGGTCGCTCGGCCAAGACGACTACGTCTTTGATCAAAAGGGTTAAGATGTTGTTTGCTAAAGGTGCAAATTAAATAAATATTTCTAAAAAATGCTACGGGCCTCTGTGTGAGTCTGTGGTTCTCTGTGTGAGTCTATGGATCTCTGTGTGAGTTTATGTGTCTCTCTGTGAGTCTGTGGGTCTCTCTATGAGTCTGTGGGTCTCTCTGTGAGTCTGTGGGTCTCTCTGTGAGTCTACGGGTCTCTGTGTGAGTCTATGAGTCTATGTGTGAGTCTATGGGCTTCTGTGTGAGTCTATGAGTCTATGTGTGAGTCAAAGGGTCTCAGTGTGAGCCTATGGTTCTCTGTGTGGGTCTATGCGTCTCTCTGTGAGTCTATGGGTCTCTCTGTGGGTCTATGGGTCTCTCTGTGGGTCTATGGGTCTCTCTGTGAGTCTATGGGTCTCTCTGTGAGTCTGTGGGTCTCTCTGTGAGTCTATGGGTCTCTCTGTGGGTCTATGGGTCTCTCTGTGAGTCTATGGGTCTCTCTGTGAGTCTGTGGGTCTCTCTGTGAGTCTCCGGACCACAGTATGCGTGTTGACCACTGCGCCACCCCTGTGCACGTCACTGCCGTCTTGTCCATGCGGCACCAGATTGCTCTGTCCATGATGTTTGCTACCGATCTCAACTTCATAATACTTATTCTGATAATTGTTTTTTTACCCTTCTATCTGGCAACAAAACTGACATCTTTTTTACAAGGAGTCATGTTTGCATAGACCAAAATACCTGCAGTCATAATGCAAACAAAAAACATAACTCTGATAATTTGCACTGTCCTTGAAGTTGATTGGTCCACACCCGAGACAGCTTTCCTTAGCGCCCAGTCTCACATGGTGTTGGACCAGATGACGCCAAAAACATTTTCTATACAAACATGACTCCTTGTAAAAAAAAAGTGTCAGTTTTGTTGCCAGATAGAAGGGTAAAAAACTAATTATCATATCTTTTCCTGGAAAATGAGGTTCCAATGGTGTAATGCTTCTTCTGTTCACCTAGAGGGGGGGGGGGGGGTATGAGTCAATATCACGCATCCCCCTTCATTTCTAAAGATCTCCTTGGCGTTACCAAGGGACAGTTTGAGCAGCCCCCGGGCCACTCAAAGGGTTCAGAAATTGTTTGCCAAAGGTATAATTTTAATACGTAAATCTATTTTCTAAAATTATGGTTATCGTGTTCGGTGGTGTGTGTTGTGTGTGTCGTGGGTTGTGTATGTCGTGTATGTGTGTCGTGTGTGTGTCGTGTATGTGTGTCGTGTGTGTGTGTGTCGCGTGTGTGTACATTAAACTTATTTTGCATCGCACCGTACGTAGCCAACCGTTGCTAATCGGACAACAAAGGAAATGCAGTTCTAAAGAAATTCAACTTGATTTGAAGCTTTCGTGACTGCAGGAATTGCTCTTTGGTTCTTTCGGTAAAGTCACCTAGAGAGAAAATAAATTCAATAGAATACGACGTTTCGATTGCAACACAAGCAGTCGTCATCAGGTAGAACTAAATTTATTTTAGAAAATAATTTAAATTAGAAAATAAATTAAAATTGCTTTTATTTTTAAATCATTTTTTCATTTTTATTTTATTTATATTTATGTGACTTTACCAAAATAACCAAGAATATGAATTCCTGCAGTTACTAAAGTTTTAAGTCAAAATGTAGGTTAGTTTATCGTAGTGTATAGTGTACTGTATAGTAAGTAGTGGAATATAGTAGTAACGTAGTGTATAATAGTGTATTGTATAGTCAAGTGTATAGTATGAGTAGTGTAGTGTATAGTTGTGTAGTGTAAAATATGGTGTAGTATATAGTATTTTAGTATATAATAGTGTAGAGTATAATAGTGTAGCATATTTGTAAGTTGTGGTGTGTAATGTATAGTAGTGTGGTGTATAGTAGTGTAGCATATAGTAGTGTATAGTATTGTAGCATATAGTGTAGTGTATAGTGTAGTGTATAGTAGTGTATAGTGTAGTGTATAGTGTAGTGTATTGTAGTGTAGCATACAGTGTGGTGTATAGTAGTGTGTAATAGTTTAATGTATAGGAGTGTAGTGTAGTGTATAGTAGTGTAGCATATAATGTGGTGTATAGTAGTGTGTAATAGTTTAATGTATAGGAGTGTAGTGTATTGTAGTGTAGCATATAGTGTGGTGTATAGCAGTGTGTAATAGTTTAATGTATAGGAGTGTAGTGTAATGTCTAGCAGTGTGGTATGTACATGGCACCGGATGTATGCCAACCGTGATAATCGAAAGGTGCTGTGGAAGAACAAACTACAAACACAAGAAAAGTTTGCTGCAGTGCGTGTGTGAGTGGGTGAGTGAGTGGGTGAGTGAGTGGGCGTGTGAGCGGGTGAGTGAGTGGGTGGGTGAGTGGTGAGCAGTGCAGCCAGGATAGCTATATAAGAGCAAGTGGGATCAGACCGATCACTCAGCAACCTCACGAGAGGCAATCGACAGTGGAGGTTTCAAGTTTTCGAGTCAAGGTCGCATCTAGGAGAACGTTCAAAGTCGCCATGGACTGCAGGGTGATCATCTTCGTCTTGTTCGTGTCAAGTTTCTCGCTTGGTAAGATCCATCATCATCATCCCCATCATTATCAGCAGCATCACCATCACCACCATCGTCACCGCCATCATCATCACCATCATCATCACCAACATCACCATAACCATCATCACCGCCATCATCACCATCATCATCCAACATCGTCGTCATCATCACAATCATCACCATCATCATTCAATATCGCCATCATCACCATCATCACCATCATCACCATGATCATTCAATATCGCCATCACCATCATCATCATCATCCAACATCATGACGAAGGATAAATCATCACCATCATCATTCAATATCGCCATCATCACCACCATCACCATCATCATCCAACATCATTACGAAGGAAAAATCATCACCATCATCAGAATGATCATTCAATATAGTCATCATCACCATCATCATCCAACATCATTACGACGGCGAAATCATCACCATGATCATTCAATATCGTCATCATCACCATCATCACCATCATCATCCAACATCATGACAAAGGAGAAATCATCACCATCATCATCCAACATCATTACGACGGCGAAATCATCACCATGATCATTCAATATCGTCATCATCACCATCATCACCATCATCATCCAACATCATGACAAAGGAGAAATCATCACCATCATCATCCAACATCATTACGACGGCGAAATCATCACCATGATCATTCAATATCGTCATCATCACCATCATCACCATCATCAGCCAACATCATGACAAAGGAGAAATCATCACCATCATCACCATCATCATTCAATATCGTTATCATCACCATCATCACCATCATCATCCAACATCATGACGAATGAGAAATCATCACCATCATCACCATCATCATTCAATATCGTCATCATCATCATCCAACATCATTATGAAGGATAAATCATCACCATCATCACCATCATCATCCAACATCATTACGAAGGAGAAATCATCACCATCATCATTCAATATCGCCACCATCACCATCATCATCCAACATCATTACGCAGGAGACATCATCACCATCATCACCATCATCCAACATCATCGTTATCCATTATACAGGGGTGTTTTTGGGGGGGGTGAGATCCCGTAACAATAAATGTTGTGTCGTGAAACCCGCCACCATCCGACACAGCCAATTAGTCACGGGGTTTTGTCACGTGAACAGAATGTGCTAATTCGTCACGAGTACGGCCACACCGGTTTGTTGGAGAACCATTCCACAACATTGAGAACATTTACAGAAGACTGTAAATCATTAGACCTCATTTGCCAGTACCAAAATATAGTAATAGGCATTGTCCAATGCTTATATTATCAGTGTGTTTTGTCTTCTTGGTACTTTCGGTAAAGTCACGTAGAATGAAAATAATAAAATAAAAAATAAAAGAATAATAATAAAATATAATAAAATTAATTTATAGTCTTCTCGACAGACCTGTTCTTCACCTGAGGACGGCTGCTTGCGTTGTGGCCGAAACGTCGTGAGTCACGTAGAAGGGAAATAATAAAATAATAAAAATAAAACATTATAAAATAATTCTCACGACGTTTCGGCCACAACGCAAGCAGCCGTCCTCAGGTGAAGAACAGGTCTGTCGAGAAGACTATAAATTAATTTTATTATATTTTATTATTATTCTTTTATTTTTTATTTTATTATTTCCCTTCTACGTGATTTTACCGAAGGAACCAAGAAGATGAATACCTGCAGTCACGAAAGCTTTAAATCGAAATTCATTTTTTCTCCTACAACATCAGAGTGCAGCGCCACATTAAATACACACTACAATGACAATAGTTTAAAGCAATTTGAAACATGTTTTTTTGGGGGGGGGCAGAGCTTTGTGACGTCATATTTGAGGAGGGGGGGGGGTCTGACTTTTTCTGACGCCGTGTGACGATGGGGGGGAGGAGGAGGAGGGGGGGGGGTCAAAAATCGTCAAAAATCGCGTGACGTCATTTATGGACGGCCCCTTTGTATTTGGGCGCATTACGCCAAGGCCCCATTGTTGCGACGGCCTCCGTGTTAAACTGCAGGTTGTGATCACCGGAATAAATGTCCACACCGCGACTCGAATTTGTGAATGTGCATCGTGGCTTTAGCTCTCCAACGCGAACACAACAAACAGGTTAGAGCTGAACTGGTCTAAGGGGAGCGGCACGTGTTGTGTTCACACGTGACAAGCCCCCACCCCTCCCCCCCTATTCTTAGGTTTTTTCCGGTAAAGTCACGTAGGTAAAACATCAAAATTAATGAAAATAAAATAAAACAAAAAATCCCGACGTTTCGGAGGCAACACAAGTCTCCGTCATCAGGTGGGACCGTCACAGCCGAATTAGCTGCATCAAGTGAGGCAATGATTCAAGATGTAATCCCTTATAAGCAAGTTGAAGGGGGAGGAGAGGGGGGGGGAGCTCATCAGAATGTTAGTACAACTCATCGGGAGGAGGGGGCGGGGCCAAAAAATTGAACGACGGCTTGGACGCAGTTGCTGCTGCACACGTCAACACAATGGACAGAGGGGGAGGGGAGGTCTGATACACATGATAGACAAAAGAACGAAATTGCCCATGTTTATACCAATGCTGGCTGAACAATGAAGAGGGTACTGTTAAAAAAACAACTGGGGATGTTAACACTCGGTACAGTAAAGTAAGATAGTGCCTGTCAGATAAGATGGTCCAAAAAAGTGTAATTAAGTCTTTTTTGCGTGGTTGATAACATCTTTCCAATGTTTACTGATTGTCTGTGTCGGGTAGTGGCGGGTTTAACGACACACGCAACTTAGATATATTTTCGGCGATCTAACAAATCGGTGTTATGGAAAATAAATGACCAAAAAAGTTAGTTGAAAGCATAATTTACATTTATCTCCACGAGTAACGCTAAAAGATTCATTAGATAGCTTGCAGTGCCACGTCAGTCGGTACGATCGATTGCTCATAGATTATACACACGTTTTAAGGTAATTTTGGGGTGCTGATTCCAAATCTGGCATCAGTTTTTGTCTATCACATCAGGTTTTTGAGATATCAAATATTGCATTTTCAATAAAAACTTCAGAAGAAAAATATTAAATAAATGTGGATATCTACATAAAATGATATTATAAACACACTATCCTAAAAATACAGCGCCCTATTTTAACACTAAAGCAGTCACTAACTCGCAACAACTTGCAATCATAAGTGACAGAGTTAATTTCGGGTAAAATCAATGAAAATGGGGTATGCCGATAGCATAAAAAGTGAGACGTGATAGAGCAAATCTGAGATCAGATTTGGAATCAGCACCCTGAAATTTGTCTAAAACAGCTGCAAAAGTCCAGGCCAGAAAAAAACTTTTTTTTGTTGACCAGTGTTATATTTGCTTTCCATTGATTCTGGTTTTTGTTGTTGTTGTTGCTGCTGCAGGCAACGCACTGATATGCTACAAATGCACGGCCTCCAGCAGCAACTCGGCATGCAACTTGCAGGGGAGCGAGACCTGCAATGGCACGTGCATAACCACCGTCGGCTCGGTGTTAGGCTGTGAGTAACGCCTTGCGTTTTTACTCCTCACCGCCACTGCCACCCATAGACTCAACACTGTCACCCATAGACTCAACACTGCCACCCATAGACTCAACACTGTCACCCATAGACTCAACACTGTCACCCATAGACTCAACACTGTCACCCATAGACTCAGCACTGTCATATACTCAACACTCCCCATAGACTCAGCACTGCCACCCATAGACTCAGCACTGCCACCCATAGACTCAACACTGTCACCCATAGACTCAACACTGTCACCCATAGACTCAGCACTGTCACCCATAGACTCAGCACTGCCGCCCATAGACTCAACACTCCCCATAAACTTAGCACTGCCACCATAGACTCAACACTGCCACCCATAGACTCAACACTGTCACCCATAGACTCAACACTGCCACCCATAGACTCAACACTGCCCATCGACTCAACACTCCCCATAGACTCAACACTGCCACCCATAGACTCAGCAATGCCTATAGACTCAACACTGCCCATAGACTCGACACTGCACGATAGACTCAACACTACTATAGACTCAACACTCCCACCCATAGACTCAACACTGCCCATAGACTCAACACTGCCCATAAACTCAACACTACCATAGACTCAACACTGCCCATAGACTCAACACTGTCACCCATAGACTCAACACTGTCACCCTTAGACTCAGCACTGCCACCCATAGACTCAACACTGCCACCCATAGACTCAGCACTGTCACCCATAGACTCAACACTGCCCATCGACTCAACACTCCCCATAGACTCAACACTGCCACCCATAGACTCAGCAATGCCCATAGACTCAACACTGTCCATAGACTCCTCAACACTGCCCATAGACTCGACACTGCACCTTAGACTAGACCCCGCACCTCCGATTAGAACAGTTGGCTACGTGCGGTTTTGCGAAAAAAGTTCAAGAACTCAAGCACCCATTCACTTCCTCATTCACTCACTCATTCACTTACTCATTCACTCACCCACCCACTCATTCACTTACTCATTCACTCACTCATTCACCTACTCATTCACTCACTTACCCACGAATTAACTTAATCATTCACTTACTCACCCATCCCCTCCTTCACTTACTCATTCACTCAATCACCCACTCATTCACTTACTCGTTCAAACACCCACTAATTCACTTACTCATTCACTCACTCACCCACTCATTCACTTACTCATTCACTCAATTACCCACTCATTCACTTACTCATTCACTCACTTAACCACTCATTCACTTACTCATTCACCCACCCACTCATTCACTTACTCATTCACTCACCCACTCATTCACTTACTCATTCACTCACTCACCCACCCACTCATTCACTCACTCACCCACCCACCCACTTATTAACTTTCTCATTCACTCACTCACCCACCCATTCCCTTACCCATTCACTCACTCACCCACTCATTCACTTACTCATTCACTCACCCACCCACTCATTCACTCATTCACTCACTCATTCACTCACCCACCCACCCACTTATTAACTTTCTCATTCACTCACTCACCCACCCATTCCCTTACTCATTCACTCACTCATCCACTAATTAACTTACTCATTCACTTACTCACCCACCCACTCATTCACTTACTCATTCACTCACTCACCCACCCATTCACTTACTCATTCACTCACCACGCACCCATTCACTTACTCATTCACTCACTCACCCACTCATTAACTTACTCATTCACTCACCCACCCATTCATTCATCTCACCCACCCATTCACTTCCTCATTCACTCACCCACTCATTCACTTACTCATTCACTCACTTACTCACCCACCCACTGATTCACTTACTCATTCACTCACTCACCCACCCATTCACTTACTCATTCACTCACCACGCACCCATTCACTTACTCATTCACTCACTCACCCACTCATTAACTTACTCATTCACTCACCCACCCATTCATTCATCTCACCCACCCATTCACTTCCTCATTCACTCACCCACTCATTCACTTACTCATTCACTCACTTACTCACCCACCCACTGATTCACTTACTCATTCACTCACTCATCCACGCATTTCCTTACTCATTCACTCACTCACCCACTAATTCACTTACTCATTCACTCACTCATTCACTTACTCATTCACTCACTCACCCACCCATTGATTCACTTACTCATTCACTCACTCACCCACTCATTCCCTTACCCATTCACTAACTCACCCACTCATTCACTAACCCATTCACTCACTCACCCACCCACATTCACATTTTCCCGTTCTGACGACCTAACTGTACTGGACACGTGTGCAAAAGAGCTTTATAGCTCATCGGATTCCTCCAGCAAGATAAATGATGATTCTGATTCTGGAATTCGCGTCACTTTGATCTCCCACCCCCCTCCCACCCATTGCCTCCTCCCCTACCTCCAATCCACCCATCACCATCATCATCAACATCATCAACATCATCACCAACATCACCTCCATCATCACCACCATCACCACCATAACATCACCACCATCACCACCATCACATCACCACCACCACCACCATCACCACCATCACCATCATCACCACCATCACCACCATCACCACCATCATCACCATCATCACCATCACCACCATCATCACCATCATCACCATCACCACCATCACCACCACCATCACCACCATAATCGTCGCCATCACCACCACCATCACCACCATCATCATCATCACCACCACCATCACCACCATCACCACCATCACCATCACCACCATCACCACCATTATCACCATCACCACCATCACCACCACTATCACCACCATCACATCACCATCACCACCACCATCACCACCATAATCATCGCCATCGTCCTGCGTGACCCGAGGAGCAGATAGCAGCTACACCAAGTCGTGCATCACCACCCCCTGCACGCCAACGAACCTCAACTTGTACGTGAGCAACTCGAAAGTCTCCTGCTGCACCACCGACTTGTGCAACGTATCCGGCTCCCCGCGCCGCGTGGCTTCCATCATCGTGGCCACGGCGATGGCTCTCATCAGCAGCGCGGTGGGATTCTAGCAAAGGGCGACAGGCAGAGGTCGCAACCGGGTACCCGATACCCGTACCCTACCCGATACCCGGCTACCCGTACCCGGCCGGGTACGGGTAGCCGTTTGCGACCCTGGTGCGGCCGGGTACGGGTAGACCGTGAGTCACTGGTGAGTCACCGTGATTGTCACTCATTTCCCAACGTCTTGTCTCTTCTCACAATTCAAGTTCCTAGAATCAACCCACCCGCGCCTGCAACATGGCTTCATCCCAGAGGTCGCAATCAGGTACCCGATACCCGTACACTACCCGTACCCGGCCGGGTATGGGTAGGGTACGGGTACGGCCGGGTACGGGTACGGCCGGGTACGGGTACGAGTACCCGTTTGCGACCCTGGTGCGGCCGGGTACGGTTACGGGTAAGAAATCAAAACCCGTTTGCGACCTCTGTTAATTAGCAACGCAGCTCTGTACGAGAGTTATAGATATTTAGAAATCAATGAAACAAACGTCGCAATGGCTTGTGAATCCACACCCCTGCAGTGCGACGCCGACGATGATGGCGGTGGTGGTGGTTCGATTACAGATTTTTAAATGATCCTGTGATTTAAAATGTCGTGCCGTCTATCGCGAAATAAACGCTAAATCTGCTGACATCGTTCGCGTGATCTGAACGTCATTTACTCGACGGCATACAGCACTGGCTCGGGCGAGAGCGACTCTGCTGATGCTGCTGATGAGACACTGGATGTCGAAACCGTTCTCTTTGGTTATTTGGGTAAAGTCAGGTAGGTGAAAAAATATGATAAAATATAATAATAAAATACAAATAAGAATTACATAAAAAAAAATAATAACTAAATTAGTGATTTAATTTAGTTATTTCTATTTTTTTTAATGTTATTTTATTATAGGTGAAAAAATATAATAATAAAATAATATTTTAAAAAATGAAATAACTAAATTAGCGATTTAATTTAGTTATTTCTATTTTTTTTTTTAAGTATTTTATTATATTTTATTGTTTTCTTTTTTTTTCACCTACGTGACTTTACCGAAAGAACCAAGAATATGAATCCCTGCAGTCACGAAAACTTCAAATCAAGTTGAAACCGTTCCTTACCTACAGTGGGCAGTTCACCAGCATTGATTCACGGGAGTCCGACTCTGCTGATGCTGCTGATGAGACACTGGATATTGAAACCGTTCTCTTTGGTTATTTGGGTAAAGTCACGTAGTTGAAAAAATATAATGCAAACAAAAAACACAACTCTGATAATGTATACATTATCAGAGTTGTGTTGTTTGTTGTTTTTTTTATTCCGACTGCAAGTATTGTGGTCAATGCAAACATGACTCCTTGTAAAAAAAGGTGTCAGTTTTGTTGCCAGATAAAAGGGTAAAAAAAACAATGATCAAACCTAGTAAACTTGTAAATACAATGCAATACAGCACAGAGAGTCGGCTAATATAACAGTCAACACCATACCTGGTTATAGAAGTAGGTTTTTACCCTTTTAAACTGGTACAAAACTGACACCTTTATTCAAGGCATCATGTTTGCAATAACCACAACACAAGTAGTCAAAAAAGCAAACAAAAAGAAGCAACTCTGATAATGATAATAATATGCACGGTCCTTGAAGTTGATTGGTCCACACCCGAGACGGCTTTTTTTAGAGCCTAGTCCCCATTGGTGTTGGACCAGATGACACCAGAAGGCGTACAACTCAAACACAGTGCAATATCAGAGTATTGAGAGCTCGGGGTAAGCATTTACACTATGAGATCTCTTTTACCAGTGGCAAAATATAGTAGTAGGTTTTTACCCTTTTAAACTGGTACAAAACCTGGTTGATTAACGTTCTTCCAAAGATTGCTAAATTTGAGAGCGAGACAAAACACACAGACACGGAGACACACAGACAGACACACAAGCAGAGCGAGACTCACACAAAGACACAGGGAGAGACACACAAAGACACACAGAAAGACAACACATCTGTGTCGAGGCCTTAAATAGAGAGGGGGGGGGGGGGTCATCCGTCCAGGAGTTCCACACAACTCTCCGAGTATCCTAGCAGTTTCCAGAATCAGAACACGACGGACTCTGCACAGTTGTCGAAGCTGGTGGAAGCGCCGTCCAGTCGGGCGCCGGATCTTGGCGGCCTCTGTCAAGTTCGCCGTCGACAAGGAAACCACGTTGCCCTTATCCGACACTGAGATGTCACAGCCGTCTATGTGGAGAGAGACTCTACGGATTACTCTAGCATGCTGATGGCGGGTCCCAAGTACGATGAACTTCAGTCTCGTCACGTAAACAGGACGAATTGGCACGTTCTGCTCACGTGACAAACTTGACTAATTGGCTGCGTCGGATAGTGGCAGCTTTAACGACACGTTGACAATATTTATGCGATCCAAATCAACAAAAAATTAACCCGTAAAAACAAAGTTTTTCACTATAAATCCTTTATATGCGTGGCGGCTAGAGTCATCTCGTCCTCTGGCTTGAGATGGCTGCCACCTATGAGTCAGATGATTGCATTGCACCATTAAGCAATTGGTAATTAAATATAATATTTTTGTCCTAAAAAGTGTAAAATTTTGGAAAAAATTTTCACGAACATTAATTGTCACGCACAACGAGTCTGTGTGGAAAATGTCAGCTCGATTGGATCACGGGAAGTGGGTTAAAAAACGACCGAAAGATTTGCATGGTCGTAAGCAAGCAAGCAAGCGAACTCAATATAAAGGATTTTAAAAAAAGAGATCTGTTATGGATAATATAGGTCGCGAAAGCTTACGTGTTAAACTGAATTTAGGCCTATTCGAGTTTATCTTCAGAAGGTTTGATGTCATCCAGTTCTTCATCTCATTGACGCACGAGGCGTGGAACATGCGAGACGCACGAATCGGCTTTCGTATGGAAGTAAAGTTGCGTGTCGTCGGAATATTAATGCGCACCGATACAAAGACGAGAGGGGATGACGTTGACATCAGCGGTGTAAAGTATGAAGAGCACCGGGCCAAGTACACTTATAAGACCAGGTTTTACCCTTTCTGGCAATAAAACAGTTGTGTTAAGATGTTAAAACACCAAAACTGAAACCTTTTGCAAGGAATCATGTCTGCATTAAACACATTCCTGCGGAGGGAGCTGGTAGGAACGTTGGGTTGCTCGGTCAATGGCCAGGATCAACGGCGGCGTGGTGTATTCCGCAAATATGCCCGACTGTGAGGGCGGGCACAAGCCGGTGTGAGTAGGTTAAACGTTGAGTTTTATAAGGGCACCACGGGGTGACCAGCCCCTCCCCATCCAGCCCCACCCCGCCCCTCCCCACCCTCCCCTTCCCACCCCTCTCTCCCCACCCAGCCCCTCCCTGCACGACGGACGGACACAATAATCCCGTGGGCTGGTGTAACCAGGAGGTTCCTACCAGTACCAGATATACCTTGTGGTGAACATTCATACAAAACACATGCTGTAGACCTGAGGTCTAACACCGTTTGAGTCTATGCCCTAAAGAAAGCTGTCTAACATAATTCTAAATTTGAAGCTTTCGTGACTGCAAGGATTCATATTCTTAGGTTTTTTCGGTAAAGTCACTTAGGTAAAACATTAAAATAAAAGTACAATAAAATAAAAATCACGACGTTTCGGAGGCAACACAAGCTTCCGTCTTCAGGTGGAACCGTCACAGCCACGACAGCTGTATCAAGTAAATGAGAGATTACAAGAGCTACCATCCGTATATATAATGGTTGGAGAGGGGGGGAGGGCCAAGTACGGCACACTTTTTATTAATATGGTAAGGTGAGGCTTAAGAGGCTGAGCCTTTGTTATGGAGAGGTACGGTTTGTGACTAAGCCTGGCCTACATAACAAGTATGAAAAAAGAAACTAAACATGGTAAAACAAGCCTGGCTGTCTATCAATAACCTCTAATAGTTGTCTGTCAAATAAGATGGTCCAAATAAGTGTAGTTAAATCTCTTTTGCATGGTTAATCACATCTTTCCAATGATTACTCAGTTTGTAACCATCATCACGGTTGAAATTATGTCTGTGTTTGTATATTTGTATGGCTTCGTGTACAAACCTTTGATGGTAGCAAGGAGGTTTGCAGAGAACCTTGGTCTCGGAAAAGACAATTTCATGAGTGCCCACCGAGTTGTAGCAATGATCGGCAACGGCCGAAGAATCAGTTCTGCCGTGTTTCAGATCTGACTTGTGCTCGCGGACACGATCAGAAAACATGACGTTTCGTTTCTCCAATGTAGCAATCACCACAACTGCAACTCAATTTGTAGACTCCAGGATACTGTAAGTCAGGAACGACATCCTTCACAGATGGAATCAGATCACGGATTTTATGCACTGTACTGAATCGGACTTGGATCTTATGTTTGTTTAGAATTTTGGAGATCTTTTTGGTCACGCCTGCTATGTATGGTAACGTGATAGTTTTGTCTAACATAAACCAATCTGTTTCAAAGACAATGCATCATATACTACCAGAGCATGTGAATTTTGTTTGCATGTTCACGACAAGTATGTGTGGTTAATGCAGACATGAGTCCTTGCAAAAGGTTTCAGTTTGGTGTTTTAACATTTTAACACAACCCGTTTTTTATTGCCAGAAAGGGTAAAACCTCATCTTATATTTTGATACTGGCAAGGGAGGTCCCATGATGACAAAGTACACTTCACTGTGACACACCGCACATCACCGATGACCTTTGTGACAGGTTACCGGCAAAGCTAACCCTTTGTGTCCGACCTGTAATGAAGAACTCAATCCATGAGAGCACGGTACCTTGTATACCATAAGCAGGTGTTATGATCAACTGTGTCAAACGCAGCAGACATGTCTAGTAGTCAGAGCAGCGGGACATCGCCACGGTCAGCCACCGTGAGTGCGTAATGGATGACCTTCAGCATTGCCGTCTCTGTTGAGTGAACATGCTGGTTTCATGATTGAAGGCTTGGAATGAGGCCGTTTTTACACTCTTTTATTTAACTCACTCCGTCTGTTGTCGTATCCTCAAAACATCTTCTAAATTTTTACCCACTTCCCAATGTTCTATCGACTGCAAACTTGGTATGCTTATGTCATACTGATGACAATACTATATTCTAAAATTAAAAAATATAATTTTTTAAAAATTTGAGACGCTTTTTTTATTTAACTCACTGTGTTGTATCCTCAAATCTTACGGCTCTAATTGTCCACGCTCAACTCACGTTGGCTGTAAATCACCACGTGGTCCCTTACGTCACGGCAAGCCTCGGGGAGCCACGCCGAGGGGCGGAGGATGTGGAAGGAGGGGAGGGGCGATGGGGGAAGGGGGCAGGGGCAGCTCGGACAGTACATTTCATTAAAGCGTGGTTAAATAAAATGTTTTTTTACATATTTTATTATTTTGCTCCAGATAGCTGAGGACATACCAGTCTCTCGACAATTTGTCAGAGGGGTCTTGCTCCAGCCTTCTTCAACCGTGGTGTGACTATGGCATGGCGCTGGCTAGTTCGTCGACAACCTTGCGCGACTGAAACATTGCACGTGCTCATGATGAAAGGCAGAAAGCGCCGGGAGAAACTCCTTCAAAAATTTGTGTCGGCCGGCATTAGGTCCCAGTGCACAGGGGGGACATTGTTGGAGCAGCCGTTATGATCCTTCGGATTTTCCTCGGCTGTGGATGGCACGAACATATCCAGAACGGAAGAAGCTGACGGCAGAGCTGACTCGGAAATGCCGCCTTCCGTTTCTCGACGAACGGCAACCTTCCGAGTGAAATCATTCACGTGGTGGTCCTGTACCGACGGGCAATTCATCACACACACACACAACTATACTCTACCGAAGGAACCAATAATATGAATCCCTGCAGTCACGAAAAATTCAAATCAAGTTGAAACCGTTCCTTACCTACAGTGGGCAGTTCACCAGCATTGATTCACGGGAGCCTGACACTTTAGAGATGAGACACTGAATATTTTTGGTTCTACCGATGAGACACTGAATTTCAAAACCACTCCTTGCCTGTAAACAGCGGGCAGTTTACCAGCATTTATACTGGTAGGAACCACCTGGTTCCACAAGCCCACAGGGGATTATTGTGTCCGTCCGTCGTGCATCCAAAAATGGGAGGGGTGGGGCTGGATGGAGGGGCTGGGTAGGGAGGGGCTGGGTGGGGAGGGTGGGGCTGGGTGGGGGGTGGGAGGGGTGGGGCTGGGTGGGGAGGGGCTGGTCACCCCGTGGTGCCCTTATAAAACTCAACGTTTAACCTACTCACGCCGGCTTGTGCCCGCCATCAGTCGGCCATATTTGCGGAATACACCACGCCGCCGTTGACCCTGGCCATTGACCGAGCAACCCAACGTTCCTACCAGCTCCCTCCGCAGAAATGTGTTATACTACTGTATACCAAACTACATACACTACAAACACACTGCCAACGCGCTACCACCTCGGACGAGTCACCATCACACGACAGGCCGAGACGAACGAGACGTTTGTGACTGCGTGTTTATTTTCAGCGCCCGGGAAAGACTCCTTGCAACTTGTTACAGCAATTGAAAGGTGGCTTTGGGGGTGTGTAGCCTGCGTTTGTGTGGGCGTGTGTGGGCGTGTGTGGGCCGTCCGTGCGTGCGTTCAATCATTCCCACTCGGAGAAAGAAAATAAACAATTTACATCCTTTGGCTCAACGTCTACCCCCAACTTATAAATCTATTCACGATTTTTGTACTTCACCAGGCGTGTAAGACCACAACGCTCTTTCAGAAGCGAACTGAAATGAGAGCTACGTAGCTCAAGTGCGTGGCGCCCTTGGTCAAGCGGTAAAATAAAAATATCTTTAGTTTACTTGTGATCGGCCAGGTCGCTTCCGAAAGAAGAGCTACGTAGAAGAGCTCAGTGTATGAGGACCTTTAGACACCTGGTCAAAAAAAACGTCTTTAAAATTAAGTTTAGGGCTCCTGGAGCATTATACATTTAGGACAGACGAACGAGCCAGGCCTTAGGTGGAGGTCAAGCAAATACCAGCGGCACGGAGATTGGGGCCACCCAGTGTGGGGGCGGGGGGGGGGTAACCCAACGAAAAGAAACCAAAGAAAATCCTCTAAAATCATCGAGGCGCCCACAAAGGTTTCACGGAGACAAATCCACACGCCACCAACACTTCTGCCCGCACACACGCACACACACGCACACACACACACACATGCGCACGCCTTAGGAGCCCAGAGGAGCAGCAGCAGAGCCAAGAGGGCAGCACAGACGGGAGGGCAGAGCGGCGCAGGACGCCTCTAGTGGTGGCTGTCGTTTTCCTCGTAGCCGGTGGGAAGGGCGTTGACGTGGGAGTTGTGGAAGAGGCTGTGGTTCCCGTCGCCCCAGGGGAAGCGCTGGCGGAGTGGGAGGGGGTAGAGAGAGAGAGACAGAGAGGTCAGGACGGGACATCCGGAAATTGTTGGGACCGCGGGAGGAATCCGATGAGTTGTGAAGCTCTTGTTTTGTCGCCGGATGTCTCCGGTAAGGGGTGCGAAGGGCCCCACTGGTCAAAACGTTGCAACAACAAACACGACATGAAAAATAACAATAGGGTTTTTACCATTTCTGGAAATATAAAACGGGAGCTGCGCTAAGATTTTCAAACACCAAGGAGATTAACCTTATGCAAGGAATCGTCAATTTTTTTCATACCTTGATACTGGCAAAAAGTTGCCGGACAAAGGCAGTGCCCGCAACCACGATAGTGAAGTGCCCAGCATAGGAATGGTAAAAAGAAATCACGTAAAATAAATATATGCAAATGGAACGAAGCTATTTTATTTAACCGCTGCATCGTGCTTCCAGGGTGCCCCGCATCTGCGGACGTCTGGAACGCGCTCTCTTCCTTTCGAAATTAGGAAGCCACTGGCGCGAGACACTTTGCATCTAACGATCGAAAATTCATTGCTTTTAGAACCGCTGCTTGTTGTTGTTGTTGCCAGTATCAAAGTATGAAAAGATAAGAATAGGTTTTACCCTTTCTGGCAATGAAACAGGAGTTGGGTCCGCGCATGCCCATAGCGGCGGCTAACGCGCCGCGCTACGAACCTGGCGACCCGAGTTCGATTCCCGCTCACGGCCAACGCCGGTGGCAATTGTCTGATCCGGTCCTGGGCCTCCCCTAGGTCGACTCAGCCTCAAAATGAGTACCTGGTGCGGTGTTAGTGTGCGTGTTAGTGTACTTGTTAGTGTACGTGTTAGCGCGTGTGTTAGTGCGTATGCGCGTGTTAGTGTGTATGCGCGTGTTAGTGTGTATGCGCGTTTGGGTGTGTGCGTGTTAGTGTGCTTATAAGTGTGCGGGCATGTTTGGGTGTGAGTGTGCGTGTAAGTGTGCTTGCGAGTGTGCAGGCGCGTATGGGTGTGCGTGCGAGTGTGGGTGTGAGTATGCGTGTATTTGCGTGTACAGTAATCCCTCGCCACTTCGCGGTTCAAGTTTCGCGGCCTCAGTGCATCGCGGATTTTTCGAACTGATTTAAAGGCCTCATTATACCTGTGCAGTAACACCATCATCATCATCATTCATCATCACATTCATCGAACTGCACAGGTCTGTCATCGTCGTCATTGTCATCGTCGTCATTACTGGAGTCAAGTCTCAAGATACTACTGTCATTGGCGAGTGTAGAACACCATAATACGTATCGTATGAGAGAGAGTGAATGTATAATATTAAGGTTTTATAATTAAATAGATTTAAGTAATATATATATAAAGTATAAATATACATATTTTAAACATTCTGGTACCCACACACACATATACGGAAATTCCTAGGGGGCCAATCCTACTTCGCGGATTTTCACCTATCGCGAGGGGTTCCGGTCCCCATTAACCGCGATAAACGAGGGATCACTGTATTGGCGTGAGCCTGCCCGCCCGCGTGCGTTGGCCCACCTTGGTGCGCAGGCGCAGGTGTTCATAGGGGACGAACTCGGCCCGCTCGTGCTCGTGCTGGCTCGAGAGGTAGGAGTTGAGCATGCAGACGGCGACGCCGGGCAGGGCGACCGTGAAGGTGAGGATTTTCCACATGCGAGAGCCTGGCACGGCACAGGACACACGGGGCGAGGGGAGAATGACACGAGTGTTGATGTTGACGTACGCCGAAATTATTTTTGGAAACCACCGCACGGAGGCAAACCGCTGCCATTCGGGAGGTGCGGGGCAAGGACAACTAAAAAAACACAAAAAAAGCAGCGCTCGAGAAATTAGTTTTCAATCTAAAATCTATGCCAGTCTTTGGGTCTCTGTGTGGCCAGTCTGTGGGTCTCTGTGTGGTGAGGCTATGGGTATCTGCGTGGTGGGTCTATGGGTCAATGCGTGGTGAGTCTATGGGTCTGTGTAGTGAGTCTATGGGTCTCTACGTGATGAGTCTTTGGGTCTCTGCGTGGTGAGTCTGTGGGTCTCTGTGTGGCGAGTCTGTGGGTCTCTGTGTGGCGAGTCTGTGGGTCTCTGTGTGGCGAGTCTGTGGGTCTCTGTGTGGCGAGTCTGTGGGTCTGTGTGGCGAGTCTGTGGGTCTCTGTGTGGTGAGGCTATGGGTCTCTACGTGATGAGTCTATGGGGTCTCTGTGTGGTGAATCTATGGGTCTGTGCGTGATTAGTCTATGGGTCTCTTTTAATGAGGCTATGGGGTATGTGTGGTGAGTCTATGGGGTCTCTGTGTGGTCAGTCTACGGGTATCCGTGTGGTGAGTCTGTGGGTCACTGCGTGGTGAGTCTATGAGTCTCTTTTAATAAGTCTATATAGGGTGTGTGTGGTGAGTCTATGGCATCTCTGTGTGGTCAGTCTATGGGTTTCTTTTGATGAGTCTATGGATCTGTGTGGTGAGTCGATGGGGTCTCTGCGTGGTGATTTAATGGTGAACAGCACACACCCACCTTGCAATCTGCAGATGGCCCGGAACAGGAAATGGTTAACTCGCATGTACTATAGCATCATATATACCTAAAATGCGACCCCTCTATTGCCAGTATCAAAATGATGAAAAAATAAAAGGCTTTACCCTGCCCGGCAATATTACAGGAAGTGCTAAGAGGTCTCAACACCCAATAGACACCCCTATTGCAAGGCATCACATCCCATAGATATAGTTTCAAGTTTCATTTATTAGGTATAGCCCTGTGAGCCATTCGGCTCTTGAATCGGCTGCAACCGCAACAAACAAAAAAACAAAAACATGAACAAGAAAACATCTTAAAGTGACTATGTGCAAACAAAAAATCCAAGAAAAGACAGCAAAATATTGCAGAAAAAGCACCGTACACCAACACTGCGTGCAAAAATCCCAGTGGGATGCAAGTCAAACAACAACAACCACAAGACAACTTAGATTAAGGCCATCAGTCTAACTCTGTACTAATTTTCTAGATTTGAAGCTTTCGTGACTGCAAGGATTCATATTCTTAGGTTTTTTCGATAAAGTCACGTAGGTAAAAAATTCAAGTTAATAAAAGTAAAATAAAAAATAAAATAAAAATCACGACGTTTCGGAGGCAACACAAGCTTCCGTCTTCAGGTGGAACCGCACCGACAATCACAAAAATAATATTCAGGGCCTACCTTGGCTCCTCCCACCCTCAACCAGTATATATACAAGGACTGTTTTCTTGGAATCTCTCACTTGATACAGTTATCGTGCTGTGACGGTTCCAACTGAAGACGGAAGCTTGTGTTGCCTCCGAAACGTCGTGATTTTTTATTTAATTTTACTTTTATTAACTTTAATTTTTTACCTACGTGTCTGTACTACAACAAACAAACGTGGCCAAACCGAAAAACTGGACGACCCATAAGATCCCTTGCTTTTAACTTCCACTAAGCTCGTGGTCCATCCTAAGCCGCATCCCCACTGAAGCAAATGCGGATGCCTGATGATACACTCATGGAAAATTACAAACCGACCAGTCGTGTACGACTGTGGTCATCCAGAATAGACCACAAATACGGAGTAGGAGACAGACATCACTGCGGTGATGATTAATACTCCGCTACTGCTTCTGCTGACACGGTGGCTCTGTGGCTTGACCACCTGGATGTGCCATTAGTAGTCATTGTCTGTGCATCTACGTCAGCCGTGGTTCATTGGTGTACTAACGCTGGTGTAGAGACAAGGTCATACAGGAGGCTGTCGCTCTGGTGTAGGCCAATCGGTTTCAAGGACAACGCATACAACAGTATTACCAAAGGTAACGTTTGTCTTCATGTTTTACCGCAAGGATGACGTGTGGTTGATGCAGACTCGACGACGTCTTGAAATAGGTGCGCGTCCATTTGATGTGTGAACACCTTAGCGCAACTCCTGTTTTAATTGCTAGATGATACTTGTGTCAAAAAGGCCCCACAGATAGAATCATCTCTCTCTCTCGCTGTCCGTAATTCTTTAAAAAATCAGTTTTAACACATAGGCTATCGCCACCAGTGTTATCCATAGTTTACAAAAAATAAGCCATAGCAAAATGGGACCTTTTGCCAGTATCAGAGTATTAAATAATAAGAAGAGCTTTTACTCTTACAAAAACAGGAGTTGTATTAAGATGTGCAAACACCAAATAGAAACCCTTTGCAAGGAATCGTGTATTGCAATAACTAATTCTCCGTGTGCCCTAATAGATCTCAACGTTCATCTCACAAAGTCCCATCACAAGGGAAAAACACAAATAAATAGACAAAAACAATTGTTTTTTTGCCCGTATTGAAACGGCTATACGGCGTATTGCCCCTGAAAACTCAATTTCCCCTGGACGAGAACACGGGTAAACCGTATGGGTTTACAGGTATGAGTGTACAGTAGTGTACAGTAGTGTACAGTAGTGTATAGTAGTGTAGTGTATAGTAGTGTAGTGTATAGTAGTGTAGTGTATCGTGTAGTGTATCGTGTAGTGTATCGTGTAGTGTATCGTGTAGTGCATCGTGTAGTGCATCGTGGTGCAGTGTGCACAACTGTCAACCCCTTATCAGTGCCCTTCTTATTACAAACCAATTCAGACCTGGTCACCCCTGTGCCCTTGTAAAGATCAACGTTCATCCTATGCACTACACTCTACTATATACTACACTACTATACACTACACTATACACTACACTATACACTACTAAATACCTGTCAACCCCTCCCTTATCAGTGCCCTTATTACAGACCGATTCAGACCTGATTGGTCACCCCCGTGCCTCTATAAATCTCAACCTTCACCCCACAAAGTCCCATCACAAGGGAGAAACACAAATAGACGAAAACAAAATTTCGATTTAAAGCTTTCGTGACTGCAGGGATTCATCTTCTTGGTTCTTTCGGTAAAGTCACGCGTGGTAGCCGAAACGTCGTGAGAATTATTTTATTATGTTTTATTTTTATTATTTTATTACTTCCCTTCTACGTGACTTTACCGAAAGAACCAAGAAGATGAAAACAAAATTGTTGCCCGTATTGAAATGGCTGTACGCCTATACAAGAATACGGGATAAAGCATATGGGGTTGACAGGTATGGACACTGTGTGTGTGGTTAATGTAAACTCGAAGCCTCGCAAAACGTTAAGAAACGCACCAATTAGCGTGAGCAGAACGTCTAGCAGAGGCTCCAACTCTAATTAAAACTTGACTTGAAGCTTTCGTGACTGCAGGAATCCATACTGGTTGGTTATTTCGGTAAAGTCACGTAGTTATTATAAAATAAATAACGACGTTTCGACCGCAACACCAGCGGAAAAAAAATATAATCCAGCAGTAGAAGTGCTGAACAACGTCGCTATTTATTTTACTTTCTACCTACGTGATTTAAACCCAAAGAACCAAAGTGTATAATTAAAACCTACGTTAAATTTCGTTAAAAAAACTTGTCGAGGCCTAGTCCGTCACACCGAAGCCTCCTCCTGACCTTGCCTAACCACCACCGCTACCACCACACCACCAACCCCCGCGTCTCTCCCGTCAACTCACTCTTGTGCTCCTCGTGCGCCACCGAGGCGTACCGCCTCGCGGGCACCCGGACGAGGCGCCATGCGGACGAGGCGAGAGACAACGGAGGAGACATCGCCGCCGAGATCGGGGAACGAGAGACGAGATACGCGAATGGCCGCCTTCCTCAACCTTGAAACAACCGTGACGTCAGCACGCAAGGGCTCGTGACGTCAGCGCGCACGCTTGGTGAGTGGTGGGGGTGGTGGTGACGTCAGCACGCAAGGGCTCGTGACGTCAGCGCGCACGCTGGGTGAGTGGTGGGGGTGGTGGCTGACGTCAGCACGCACGGGCTCGTGACGTCAGCGCGCACGCTGGGTGAGTGGTGGGGGTGGTGGTGACGTCAGCACGCAAGGGTTCGTGACGTCAGCACGCACGCTGGGTGGGTGGTGGGGGTGGTGGCTGACGTCAGCACGCAAGGACTCGTGACGTCAGCGCGCACGAAGGGGTGGGTGGTAGGGATGGTGGGTGACGTCAGCGCGCACGGGCCTGTGTGATGTTCGCGGGTACGTGAGGGGGAGTGACGTCAGCACGCACGGTCTCGTGTGACGTCACCGAGCACGCAGGGGTGGAGGGGGGGGAGAAGAGACGTTGGGGGACGTACGCGACGTGGATGGACGATGACGTCATCGCGTTGGGTGCACGATGAGCGGATGTGACGTCACCGCGTTCCGGCGTATGTGGGGGGGAGGGGGACCAAAGGTTTTGGAGAACGTACGCGTGACGTCATCGCGTTGGGTGTACATTGAAAGGATGTGACGTCACCACGTCGCGACGTACGTTGTGGTGGGGCGATGCCCAATGGTTGGAAGACGTGCCGTGATGTGGTGGTTGGTGACGTCATCGCGCTGGATCCATAATGATAGGGTGTGACGTCATCCCGTCACGATGTCAGTTGGAGGGGGGAGAGGGGCAATGCTCAAGGTGAGGTGGATCGTGACGTCATCGCGTAAATTAAAAGGACGCTGACGTCACCTCGTCGCGTACGTAAGTGGGAGGGGCCCAAGTCAATGGAGCCTTCGATGGATAGTGACGTCACCGTGTCGACTCGCGTTCTCGCCAGTGACATCATCATCTCGCTTGGTTTAAGGATTCGTACGTCATCGCGTGCGTGACGTCATTACGCGCGAGGCAACTCTGCATGACGTCAAACGCGTGTCGCCAAAGGAACTTAAAAGAGCCGGATGACGTCATACGGAGTGAAAGGGTAAGAACCCGCTGGGCGGTGACGTCATGTCCACGGAGGGCTAAAAATAGCCCTGTGACGTCATCGCTTCCTGGATCCGAGAGTCGCGCCCACGTGATTTGGAGCTGTCCCGCCAATCAGAGGCGGGGGGGGGAGGGGCGAGCGAGTTAATTGATTGACAGCTTAATTATTTATTTGTAATTAATGATTGTGTGTTGTGTGTGCACGGCTAGGAGCGAGAGCCAAGTTCGATGTCACGGTCACCACCGCGGCCTCTCGCCGACCAGTAGCCTGGGCCTCCTCCCCTAGGTCGACTCAGCCTCAAAATGAATAACCTGGTGTAGCCGCGTGTACGAAACGTCGCCACCGAGCTACCAGCACATGCCCCTACAGCCCTGCTGGAGGCTACCTGGGGTAGCTTTGTCTGTGTGTGGTGTGTGTAGTACATAGACACTGCTGCTGCTACTCGCTAGCTAATAGCACTTGCCCCTACAGCCCTGCTAGACGCTACCTGGGGTAGCTTTGTCTGTGTGTGGTGTGTGTAGTACATAGACACTGCTGCTGCTACTCGCTAGCTAATAGCACTTGCCCCTACAGCCCTGCTGGAGGCTACCTGGGGTAGCTTTGTCTGTGTGTGGTGTGTGTAGTACATAGACACTGCTGCTGCTACTCGCTAGCTAATAGCACTTGCCCCTACAGCCCTGCTAGACGCTACCTGGGGGAGCTTTGGTGTTGTGTTGTTGAAGGGCGAGCATTGTAGGCGGAGTCGGCCTTTAGTTCATGAAAAATTGTAGCATCCATATCACGGTGTTGTGTGTGTGTGTAACATCAACGCAGGGGAGACAAAGGCGGCCGGGCGTGCTCGTTAGCCACGAAGACAAAAGGTCACCCGTGTAGCCTCGAGGAGGATGTAGAATCAGCATCACCACGCGTTTAGAGTTATTTTGGCTGCTGCTATCAATTTCCACGTGATTAAATCAGCCACCCGATTGAGCTGCTGTAATTTTTTTGATCGCTTCTCAGAAAAGAGTTGTCTTGTTATTCGTAGGTAACGCTAACACTGGTCAACACACTTTTTCTGGCATAAGGTATTCCAACGGGTTTAATGTAATTTTGGGGTGCTGATTCCAAATCCAGTATCAGTTTTTTGTCTATCACATCAGGTTTTTGAGATATCAAATATTGCATTTCCAATCAAAACTGCAGAAGAAAAATATTAAATTAATGTGGATATCTACATAAAATGATATTATAAACACACTATCCTAAAAATACAGCACCATATTTTAACACTAAAGCAGTCACTGCCTCGCAACAACTTGCAATCATTAGTGACAGAGTTAATTTTGGGTAAAATCAATGAAAATGGGGTATGCCGATAGCATAAAAATTATGTGATAGAGCAAATCTGAGATCAGATTAGGAATCAGCACCCTGAAAATAGTCTTAAACAGCTGCAAAAGTCCAGGCCAGAAAATTATTTTTTTTGTTGACCAGTTTAATTGGTTCTAACCGGAGCTTTGTGAATCTTTAAACCGTGCAGGAAGCGGGAGTGGACCATCCATAGGGAGACGGAATGCCGTTGAAAGTTCTATTTTGGACTCCGAACATTGTAGGTGAGACTCCTCGCATTCCCAACATTCAACAAGGATTGTGACAAAATACCGGATCGTAAGACACTTGCGGGTGCGTCCTATAATCTGGTAGGTGGGTGGGTGAGTGGTTGAATGAGTGGGTTCGTGGGTAAGCCAGTGAGTGAGCGATTGGGTAAGTCTGTGGGTGGATGAGTGGTTGAGTGAGTGAGTGGGTGAGTGGGTGGGTGGTGAGTGGGTGGGTGGGTGCTTGGTGAGTGGGTGGGTGGTTGAGTGGGTGAGTGGGTGATTGGGTGGGTGGGTGAGTGAGTGGATGGGTGGGTGGAAGAGTGGGTGGGTGGGTGAGTGGGTGGGTGAGTGGGTGGGTGAGTGAGTGGGTGAGTTAGTGGTTAAGCCAGTGAGTGATTGGGTAAGCCTGTGGGTGGATGAGTGGTTGAGTGAGTGGGTGGTGAGTGGGTGGGTGGGTGGTGAGTGGGTGGGTGGTTGAGTGGATGATTGGGTGGGTGGGTGGGTGAGTGGGTGGGTGAGTGGGTGGGTGGGTTAGTGGGTAAGTCAGTGAATGAGTGATTGGGTAAGCCTGTGGGTGGATGAGTGGTTGAGTGAGTGAGTGGGTGGTGAGTGGGTGGGTGGGTGCTTGGTGAGTGGGTGGGTGGTTGAGTGGGTGAGTGGGTGATTGGGTGGGTGGGTGGTTGAGTGAGTGAGTGGGTGATTGGGTGGGTGAGTGGGTGGATGGTGATTGGGTGGGTGGTTGAGTGGGTGAGTGGATGATTGGGTGAGTGGGTGGGTGGGTGAGTGAGTGGGTGAGTGGGTGGGTGAGTGAGTGGGTGGGTTAGTGGGTAAGTCAATGAATGAGTGGGTGGGTGGTTGAGCGGGTGGGTGAGTGAGCGGGTGGGTGAGTGGTTGAATGAGTGGATTAGTGGTTAAGCCAGTGAGTGATTGGGTAAGCCTGTGGGTGGATGAGTGGTTGAGTGAGTGGGTGAGTGGGTGGGTGGTGAGTGGGTGGGTGGGTGGTGAGTGGGTGGGTGAGTGAGTGGGTGGGTTAGTGGGTAAGTCAGTGAATGAGTGGGTGGGTGGTTGAGCGGGTGGGTGAGTGGTTGAATGAGTGGATTAGTGGTTAAGCCAGTGAGTAAGTGAATGATTGAGTAAGCCTGTGGTTGAGTAAGTGGGTGAGTGGGTGGGTAGGTGGGTGGTGAGCGAGTGGGTGGTTGAGTGGGTGATTGGGTGGGTGAGTGGGTGATTGGGTGGCTGATTAGGTGGGTGAATGGATGGGTGAATGAGTGGGTGGATAGGTTGGTGTATAGGTGGGTGGATGAGTGAGTCGGTGATTTCGTGGGTAAGTGAGTGGGTGGGGTGAGTGTGCGCAAGTTCCTAGGTGAGTGGGTGGGCGGTGAGTTGGACGCCTCGGTAGGGGTTGTGAGCGAGCGGCCATTGTACGCACGTCATACGCCACCCGTGACGTCACCCCAACCGTCGCCAATCGGAGGGTGCGTCGGCCCCTCGTGTCGTCTGTGCGTGCACGTGCCAGGCTATGTCCGCCTACTGCTCCTCGCGCTTGCCTGGTGGTGGTTGGACTCCCCTCACCTGTTCGTGCCTCTATACTCGACCTTTGCAGCTCTGGACTGTGAGTGACCCCCACCACCGCCACCACCCCCACCACCGCCACCACCCCCGCCACCACCCTCACTCCCACCACCCCCTCCACCGCCACCACCCCCACCACCGCCACCACCCTCATCACCGCCACCAACCCCACCACCACCACCCTCATCCCCACCACCACCCCCCACCACCACCCCCACCACCATCACCACCCTCACCCCCCACCCCCACCACCACCACCACCCTCACCCCCACCACCGCCACCACCCCCATCACCACTCCCACCACCACTCCCACCATCACCACCCCCACCATCACCACCCTCACCACCACCCCCACCACCCCCACCACCCTCACCCCCACCACCGCCACCACCCCCATCACCACTCCCACCACCACCCCCACCACCACCACCACCACCCCCACTACCACCACCACCACTCCCACCACCACCACCCTCACCCCAACCACCGCCACCACCCCCACCACCACCCCCATCACCACCCCCATCACCACCCCCATCACCACTCCCACCACCACTCCCACCACCACCCGCACCACCACCACCCTCACCACCGCCACCACCACTCCCACCCCCACCACCACCCCAACCATCACCCCCACCACCACTACTACCCTCACCACTCCCACCACCACCACCCTCACCACCACTCCCACCCCCACCACCATCCCCACCACCCTCACCGCCACCACCCCCACCACCACCACCCTCACCACCACTCCCACCCCCGGCGTGTGCAGGGATTGACGGGTGGCTGGCGCGCCGCCTGCATCAGACCTCCGCCTACGGGGCCTGGCTGGACGTGGCCATCGACAACCTGGGACGCGGGCTCCTGTGGAGTCACCTGTGCCAGGTGTCTAACCGGGGTTCACTCACCCCCACCCCACCCCCTCGCCTACCGCCAATGCCTGTCAACCCCATACGGTTTACCCCGTAGTCTTTGTAGGATGAACGTTGAGATTTTATGAAGGGCACGGGGTGATCAATGAGGTCTGAATTGGTCTGCGATAAGGTAGGGCACTGATAAGGGGTTGACAGGTATGGAGACCCACAGAGATACACAGAGACACACAGAGATACACAGAGATACACATAGACACACAGAGATACACATAGACTCTTATAGATACACAGAGACACACAGAGAGACACAGAGATACACAGACACACAGAGATACACAGAGACACACGTAGACACACAGAGACACAGAGAGACCTCACAGAGACCCTATATAGACACACAGAGATACACAGATACAACACAGAGACACACAGAGACACACAGAGACACACAGAGACACAGAGAGACCTCACAGAGAGCCCATATAGACACACAGAGATACACAGATACAACACAGAGGCACACAGAGACACACAGAGACACACAGAGACACACAGAGATACACAGAGACAACAGCACTGTTTTTCGAATGCTTCACCGAGGAGAACTTTGTGTGTGTGTGTGTGTAGACGTGTGTGTGTATGTAACAGCACTTGCCCCAACAGTCTGTTAAGGCTGCACTGGGGGACGGGGTGGGGGGCGAATCTCTGCCTTCTCTGTTCTTCGTCGTCGACGCAGGGCTGGGGCTACCTGATCTCCGCGCTCGAGTGGATCGTCTTCGTTTGCAATCACCGATCGCTGGGAGCCGACTGGAAGGAGAAATTCGACGGAGCACCACGCTGGGTTCAAGCCGTCATGGCCAACGGTGTTGTGCGGGAGAGGGGAAAGAAAAAAACAACACGAGCTTCATCATGGGACCTCCCTCGCAGAGGTCGCAAACGGGTTTTGATTCCTTACCCGTACCCGTACCCGGCCGCACCAGGGTCGCAAATGGGTACCCGTACCCTACCCATACCCGGCCGGGTACCACAAGTATGTGTGGTTAATGCAGACATGATTCCTTGCAAAAGGTTTCAGTTCGGTGTTTTCACATTTTAACACAAACCATGTTTTATTGCCAGAAAGGGTAAAACCTGGTCTTATAAGTGTACTTGGCCCGGTTCTATTCTTATATTGTGATACTGGCAAAGGAGGTCCCATGATGTAGCTGCTTACTCCGAGCTCTCAATGTCCTGATAGTGCATTGTCTTTGTGTTCGCCTTTTGGCGTCCTCTGGTCTAACACTGTTTGAGACGAGGCTCTAAAGAAAGCTGTCTCTGGTGTGGACCAATCAGTTTCAAAGACAATGCATCATATACTATCAGAGCATGTTTTTTGTTTGCATGTGCACCACAAGTATGTGTGGTTTAAGTGAATAGATTAGTGAGTGACAAGATGAACGGGTGAATGAGTGGGTTGGCGAGTGCATGAGTGAGAAGGTGAGTGGATGAGTGAGTGAGTTAGTGAGTGAGAATATGAATGGGTGAGTGGGTGAGAAGATGAATTGGTGAGTGGGTGGGTGAGTGAGTGGGTGAATGAGTTAGTGAGAAGATGAATGGGCGAGTGAGATGGTTAGTAGATGAGTGAGAATATGAATAGGTGAGTGGATGAGTGCGAAGATGAATGGGTGAGTGGGTGGGTGAGTGAGTGAGATGAATGGGTGAGTGGGTGAGTTTGTGAGAAGATGAATGGGTGAGTGGGTGAGTTAGTGAGAATATTAATGGGTGAGTGGGTGAGTGAGAAGATGCATGAGTGGGTGGGTGAGTGAGTTAGTGAGAAGATGAATGGGTGAGTGGGTGGGTGGGTGAGTGAGCAAGATGGTGAGTTGATGAGTGAGTGGGTAAGTAGCGGCATGGTGCTGGCCACCCATCCACAGTGCCGGCCGTCGTATGCGTGACGCTTTAAAAATATATATATAGTTCTCACTAAAAGCACTTGCCCCAACAGTCTGTTAAGGCTACACGGGGGGCACCTTTGCATTTGTGTGCGTAGGGTTCTGCACGCCGCTGGGATTGTTCGCCGTCATGGGTCTGGACGTCTTACCCCTGTGGCTCTACGTGAGTCAGAACCGAGAGCCACTGGGTCTGGCTCCCTTCACACTGCCACTGCTCACAGCCGGCACGGCACTGCTGATGAGTGGGCGCGCGATTTGCCTGGGCGTAGAGGTGTGGACACGCGCACACACGCACACACGTTCACGCGTGTACACGCATGCACAAAGACAAAGATCCCCCTGTATAGCCTGAACAGACTTGGGGCAAGTAGTAGCGAGCAATATCTTTGAAAGCACACACAACAACCTGCCATTCGCCACTAGGTGGCAGTAATGTCACCACGGTGCTTGTGCCAGGCTACAAGTAAGTGTCGAACGTCTGCTAGCAGGTGGTCACGGGACAGACCCCCAGGTGCCATGGGTTTACTGATTGAGATGACTGGCTGATGCACCACCTGTGCCCCCTACTGTGCCAACTTGCTGTGCTTTATCCACCCGGCGCTCCGCTCGTTGTTGTGAGCGTCACTCCTCTGCCCTCCAATGTTGCTGGAGGGTGACTGCCTCCAACTGCCTTGTAGCAGCGTCCTTCATGAGCCTCCTCCATAGAGCCCGATCTTGACACCTCTGGTTCCAGTTATTGGCAAGTCCACTCAGCTCCACATCCTCTTGCACCACATCGCTCCATCTCTTCTCTAGCCCATGCCGCACCCGTTTTGCCCCCTCTAGCTGCTTGGGCATACGGTGGCTGGGCATGCGGGCTACATGACCCAGCCAATGCAACCTTGCCTGCTGGAGGAGCTCACCGATGGGACTGTGTCCATATCTTTTGAGGATTGTGAGCTCCTCACACAATCCAGCCTGGTTGAACCCCGGACGGATCGTAAGCAAGCCACCTTTGAATGTTTCTAACTGGCGAATATTTTCCATTAGGGGGGCCCACGTTTCACAAGCATAGAGAAGGGAGGGCATTACTGTGACCGAGAAGACCCGAAGCTTCGTGTGGAGCGACAGATCAGGTAGCTTCCACACAGCGTTACGCAGCTGATGAAAAGATAATGCACTCGACTGATTTGGAGTGAGACCTGTACTGTCAAACTGGACCTGGTCATAAGCACACTGCCCAGGTATGGGAAACTCTCCACTCTCTCCACAACTGCCCCACCAATGTGGAGTTGAGGGGGGTGGAGTGTCCAATGACACAAAATACCCAGGCAGGTGCTTAGTTTTTGAGGGGCTGATGGTAAGGCCCCACCTCTTGGTGGCAAATTTCAGGCTCAGCAGCAGCAGCCAACTCATCCTCTGAGTGAGCAGCAATAACCAGATCATCGGCATACGTAACATGGTTGACCAATGGGGAGTCATCCCTTGACCTGCACCCGAGCATCGATCAGCCTCCCATTGTATCTGTCCCAGATACAATGGAAATTCCACTGTTGCAGCCATGGAATGCTTCTCGAACTACGTGGTTGAAAATATGTTAAATCGTGTTGGTGCCAGAGGACATCCCTGCCGCACCCCAAGGTCAACAGAAAGTGGCTCTGACTCCCCACCATCATGAAGGTCCTTAATGATTGTGAGCAGAGAGTTAGGGACTCCGAAACTACGAAGATCAACCCAGAGACTAAGCCTGTTGATAGTATAACAGGCCTTGACCAGGTCAATAAAGCAGAGATGTAGGTCATAATTGGAAATTCCCTACACCTCTGCTGTATCAGATGGACAGGAAATATGACATCTGTGCAGGACCGCCCTGGCCTGAGACCACATTGGGGCTATGCAAGCCTCTCCTCAGCGTACCTGGCTAAGTAATGTTGAATAATCCTTGCCAGGACCTTTCCCGACACACTGAGGAGTGAGATGCTCCTTGTAGTTAGTCTGTAGAGTCACCAGGGCATCCTTCCAATCCTGAGGAACGCGTCCCGGTGGTCCAACTGATATGATGTCATATAGGGCAGTCTGCACAGAAACACCACCCTCCCTCAGCAGTTCGCTTGGGAGATCATCTCTGACCGGTGCTTTTCATGGTCTCCGGCTCTGGATCACCTTCAGTACTTCCTCAACAGATGGCACCTCAGCCAAGCCACTCACTGGGGGTGACAACTTCTTCCAATATTTGAGGCACTGCAGCCTCACCAGGGTCATCCCCACTTTGCCCCATGATGGTTTCCAGGCTGAGGAATTTCCCCTCCCCAAGACCTCACAGAAATGCTCAGAACATCTGCAAACATGTTCCTGGGGGTCAGAGATCGGATCACCTTTCTTTTCTCTAAGAATGGTGATGTGTGGCGCTGCAAGTAAACTTTTTTGATGAAATTCAAGATTAATTTGTGATCGCAAGCAACTCATGGCAGACTCCATCTCCTCAGCAACCCGTGATCACCACCCATCCTTGCAGCACCGCACGGCTCTCGGAACTTCCGAGCGAAGGCTGCAGGAAGCCTCCTTCTCCGACGTGGGATGCTGTAGACGATGAGGCCTGTCGCTTTATATCAGCAAGCCTGAACACCTCCGCTGTCAGCCAGGGTCTCTGAGGTCTGGACCGCGTTCCCAAAGCAGCCATTGCAGCTACATGAGCCACAGTCCTAAACCTCACCCATTTCCCCTCGACATCAGGATGCGGGGGGGGCGATGCCAACCTTAGCTGCATGCGATAATAAAATTATTGCTTGCAACTTTCATCAGCGAGCTGAGACCAGGCCACTGTGGGTTTCAATGGGGTCCTAGATGGACACCCACCACCGGAGTGGAAGAATGGCAGGCGCATCATACAGATGACAAGCCAATGGTCAGTGGGCAGATCAACTCCACGGTAGATCCTGTGTACACACACACATACACGTGTTAGAAGCGCACACGTGTACACACACAGACGTGTAAACACACGTGTATGCGTATACACGTACACACATGAGTGTACACGCACAGGTATACACATAAGGCAGAGATCTTTGTGTGGTGTGTGCGTGTGACAGGTGTGGTGTGTGTGGAATCACATCCGCTATCTGACGTCTCTCCAATCGTCACCCGCCAGACGCTGAGGAAGACAACAAAAAACCCGCGATGTGGATGCAGAGATTTTTTTGTCTATCCGGTCCATTGGAAGACCATCAACTCTCGATGATACTGCTGTATCTATATATATAAAAGGGAAATGTGTGAATATATGTGTCTGTTCGAAATGTTTAGCATACTTCCCGACATGCAACACACTTGAAATTTGGCATGTGGGTAGCTTCCAGACTGTACACAATGGAAAACGTATAAAAAATTACTTTTGTATTTTGGTGGTGGGGGGGGCGCATAAATGCATATATTTGGCACACAAGTGAGCGGTGACGTCATATCTGTGATGTCACCCGCATTCGGCAGCGTCACGCAGTGTGCCTGCTGACGTCCGCATCCCCCCCCCACCCTCCGCGCAGGCCGTGTATTAATCCAAGACAAGTCCCGGGCGAAGCCGGGTAGTCAATCTAATATTACAATAAAAAAAACTATTATAATTGTTTTTTTACTCTTCTATCTGGCAACAAAACTGACACCTTTCATACAAGGAGTCATGTTTGCATAGACCACAACACCTGTAGCCATAATGCAAACAAAAAAACATAACTCTGACGATATATGCACTGTCCTTGAAGCCGACTGGCCACACCCGAGACAGCTTTCCTTAGAGCCTAGTCTCACGTGGTGTTGGACTAGATGACGCCAAAAGGCGCACAACCCAAAGACAATGCACCACCAGAGTATGAGAGCTCGGGGCAAGCACCCACACCACTGGAACCTCATTTGCCAGTAAAAAAAATTGGGGGTGGGGGGGGGCGCATAAATGCATAACTATTACTCAATAAACCAGGTGTAATGCCCCTTTGAGCTGCTGCGTAGCTCTTTGTCAGAAGCCCTGAACTGGCCATCGCAACAAGATAGCAGATCAACTCAAGTGGCTGATACCATCATCATCATTTGGGAACGTATAGCAGCAGCCAAATACTCTAAACGCGTGTTTCTACAGACTCATATAGACCCACAGATCCACAGAGACCCATACTCACAGAGACCCATAATACAACGAAACTTTTTATTTTACCAGATAAAGCCCCACTGAGCTATGTGGCTCTTTTTCAGAAGCGACCTGGTCATCATTAAGCGATAGCAGCTCAATCCAAGTGGCTGATATCTTCATCGTCATCGTCGTCACGTGGACACTTATAGCAGCAGCCAAATACTCTAAACGCTGTGACGTTCATTCTAAATGTTGAGAGGAAAACCCAGAGGAACTCAGAGAGACACGCAAACTCCAAATATACAGCAACAGGTATCGAACCCACGACCTCCTGTGTATCAGGCTAGGTAGTTAACATCTCCCCTGCCGGCGTTGTTATGTTCCGGTGTTTCTACAGACTCGTAGAGGCCCACGGACACACAGAGACCCATTCTCGTAGAGAACCACAGAGACCCAGACTCATAGAGACCCACAGAGACCTTGACTCATAGGGACCTAAAGAGACCCAGACTCATAGAGAACCACAGAGACCCAGACTCATAGAGACCCACAGAGACCTTGACTCATAGGGACCCAAAGAGACCCAGACTCATAGAGAACCACAGAGACCCAGACTCATAGAGACCCACAGAGACCCAGACTCAAAGAGACCCAAAGAGACCCATAGTCATTGAGACCCATACTAAAACTAAACCATTTTTCATTTTACCAGATCAGGCCCCACTGAACTGCTCTCTAGCTTTTTCGATTTAAAGCTTTCGTGACTGCAGGGATTCATATTCTTGGTTCTTTCGGTAAAGTCACGTAGAAGGGAAAGAATAAAATAATACTAATTATTTTCCTTCTACGTGACATTACCGAAAGAACCAAGAATATGCTCTCTGGCTCTTTATCATAAGCGACCTGGCCATCACAAATGATAGCAACTCAACACGAGTGACTGATATCATCATCACGTGGACATTTATAGAACCCCTCTGAACGACGGTAATTAGTTCTACGAAACCGGTCGTTAAGTGAGTAATAGAAAATGCACGTTCAAGGCTTATTTCGTCCCGATAGTATCGAAGGTTATCCCTTTTCCGCCACAAAAAAGGTACTTCATTATATTTAAACAATGGCTATTAATACACCAAGATGATAACAACGTTATAAACACATAATATGAACAAGTAGCATGGTTAAATCAATGAGTTAATGCATCATTACTGTATGGTGGGTAAGCGAATACATTGGGCTGGATGGAGGCCCGTGATTAAGCGATTAGTCGTTTTCAGGGATGGTCATTAAGAGGGGTTCTACTCTCGACTATACACTACACTACTACACACTACACTACTACACACCACACTACTACACACCACTACTACACACTACACTACTACACACTACACTACTATACATTACACATTGGGCTCTATGGAGGCCCGTCGTTAAGCGATTAGTCATTAAACGGGGTGGTTCTGCTGTATAGCAGTAGCCAAATACTCTTAAAAGCGTGGTGATGTTAATTCTACACACGGAGGTAAAAAAAATGGAGGACCTAGAAACCACCATTGGGAGAGAGAGAACGAGCGAGAGACACACAGACTCCAGATGTACAGGAGCAGACGTCGTCGTCCGAATATTCTGAACGACCCAAAACCATCAACGCGCTACAACTCGAAACTCGGATTTCAACTTAAAACAACCCAGAGGTGATCGTTCAACACTGCCGTCGTTTGTCAATCTTCAAATCCACCTATGGGTTGGATTCCAGGCCCCGGACTGGCCACGGGGCGGCTCCGGGTTATGTTCCGAAGTTTCCGATGCGCCGAGCTGTGTGTATGTGTGTCAAAGGGGATGGGGGAAGAGAGTGAAACAATGCAACAAATAGATTCATCTTTGCGTGGTTTTTTTTTGTATGAAATACAGCCCGCTCTGCTGTAACGCAGCGCCTGAGCTCTTGTTGTTTCCTTAACGCGAATTGGAGATAGACGGCGCGCTGCCAGCTTACATTGACATGCTAATCACATTTACACAGTACATTTACGTTCAGATGTCTCACTTTAACATCACTAGCCCCCTCCCCCCACAATTCGTTCATGACTCTGGGGCTATGCCCATCTCTAACCTTTAAATGCAGCCTGCATCAGCAGCTTCCCTCTTTCTTCCGCTTGATGACGACTGCTTGTGTTGCGATCGAAACGTCGTGATCTATTAATATTTTTTCGACATACGTGACTTTACCGAAAGAACCAAAGAGTATGGAGATAGACAATGTAATATAACGCGACGAAAACGTGTTATTACAGACAACGCATTTTTTGTTATAACGCGGAAAACGGATTTTTATATACAGTAAAACCTCTTGTTAATACCACACAAGCCTTGCCGAATTATCCAATATTCCGAATTGTATAAAATGGTGACTCTCCAGTGCCTCGTGCCCCAATATGGAAATAATAATCCAAATTTGTTTTCCAAACTTATCACGCACCAAACGCATTCATACACACAGCCTGCATCAATTATATCCAGAGCTGTAGTGTATAGTGTAGTAGTGTAGTGTATAGTAGTGTCGTGTACCTTACGCTCTCGGTTTGGCATTCAGGATAGTAGTGTAGTGTATAGTAGTGTTGTGTATGGTAGGACAGTGCATACATTATCAGAGTTATGTTTTTTGTTTGCATTATGACTGCAGGTAATGTGGTCTATGCAAACATGACTCCTTGTAAAAAAGGTGTCAGTTTTGTTGCCAGATAAAAGGGTAAAAAAACATATTCTTAGGTTTTTTCGGTAAAGTCACGTAGGTAAAACATCAAAATTAATAAATGCAACCGCGTCCACGCCGTCGTCCATTCTTTTGGCCCCGCCCCCCCTCCCCCTCCCGATGCGTTGTACGTGGCACTCCGTGCCGTCTTTGAGCCCCGCCCCCCTCCCTCCCGATACGTTCCATTCATTGGCTACCACATTCTGATGAGCTCCCCCCCCCCCCTCTTCTCCCCTCTCAACTTGCTTTTAAGGGATTACATCTTGAATCATTGCCTCACTTGATGCAGCTAATCCGGCTGTGACGGTCCCACCTGATGACGGAGACTTGTGTTGCCTCCGAAACGTCGTGATTTTTATTTTATTTTTATTAATTTTGATGTTTTACCTACGTGACTTTACCGAAAAAACCTAAGAATATGATTCCTTGCAGTCACGAAAGCTTCAAATCTAGGTAAAAAAACAAATTATCAACACATGTTTAGTTTAGTATTAGAGACTGGGTGAAAAGTGGGCGAAGGTTTGCCCCAAACTTAATGACGATATCAGCCACTCGGTTGAGCAGCTATCATTTTGTTATGGCTTGGGTCGCTTCTGATAAAGAGCTATGTAGTTCAGTGTGACCTTACACCTGGTAATATTAGTTTTTAGTTAATTCTAGATTTGAAGCTTTCGTGACTGCAAGGATTCATATTCTTAGGTTTTTTTTTTCGGTAAAGTCACATAGGTAAAAAATAATTTTACTTAATAAAAGTTAAATAAAAAAAATAAAAATCACGACGTTTCGGAGGCAACACAAGCTTCCGTCTTCAGGTGGAACCGTCACAGCACGATTGCTGTTTCAAGTAAAGAGAAATTCCAAGAGACCCGACCTTGTATATATACTGGTTGAGGGGGGAGGAGCCGGTTCCACCTGAAGACGGAAGCTTGTGTTGCCTCCGAAACGTCGTGATTAATTTTATTTTAATTATACTTTTATTAATTTTTATTCATTTTTATTTACATTTTTTACCTACGTGACTTTACCGAAAAAACCTAAGAATATAGTTTTTAGTTAGTTAAGCAGGCAGCCGAGGGTGGCGTGCCTAATACCTAGCACTGTCGATTAGCGCCGCTCACTGCTCAGCGCGTCTTAAGGGGCCGTCTATAAATGACGTCACGCGATTTTGGACGATTTTGACCCCCCTCCCTCGTCACACGGCGTCACAAAAAGTCAGACCCCCCCCCCCTCAAATATGACGTCACAAAGCTCTGCCCCCCCCCCACCCCCCAAAAAAAACATGCTTCAAATCGCTTTAAACTATTGTCATTGCAGTGCGTATTTAATGTGGTGCTGCACTCTGATGTTGTAGGAGAAAACATTTATTAAAATTATATTTAATTAAGTAGAACGTGTTGTCTATATTTATTTAAAGTTGCGCATTTTGATGAGACGTTACATTTCTCAACCCCCCCCCCCCCCCCAATCGTCACACATCGTCACAAATGTCTGACCCCCCCTCCCCCCCCCTAGGTGCGTGACGTCATTTATGGACGGCCCCTAAGGAGCGCCGAGCCAGAGTCTGGCCCCAGTACCAGTGCGGCCAGTACCCAAAAGGCAGATGGTCGGTGGCGATTTTTAACCCAAAGAGATCGAGGGTTTACCTCTGGCGACGACGACGGCGACGGCGGCGGCGGCGCTGATGATGGCGACGGAGATGATCACAGCTAAGATCGTACAAGTGCGGTGGTCTGTAACAAACGATGGGGCAAATGGGGTGGGGCGGTGGGGAAGTAAACCATGAGGCACGCCTAGAGGGGTGTCTGGCGAACCTTTTCCAGCGCGCAGCTTCTGCTCGGAGAGTACTTACTAATAAAAATTAAATGTATAGTGCCGCATTCCATACCTGTCAACCCCTTATCAGTGCCCTACCTTATTGTAGACCAAATCAAACCTCATAGGTCAAAGTTCATCCTATACACTACACGATATACTACACTACACTATACAGCACTATACATTACACTATACACTACACTATGTACTCCACTACACACCACCATACACTACACTATACACCCCACTATATACTACACTACTATCCACTACACTATACACTACACTACTACAATCTGTCAACCCCTTATCAGTGCCTACCTTATTCCAGACAAATTCAGACCCTATTGGTCACACCGTGCCCTTATAAACCTCAACGTTTATCCTCCAAAGCCCGTATTGAAACGGCTGTACGCCAAATGGACCTGAAAACTCAATTTCCCCCGTACAAGAATACGGGGTAAACCGTATGGGTTGACAGGAATGGAATTCCATCCTAGGATCCCCAATGCGCAATGCATGCAATGGGGTTGTGTTGTGGGGTTTGCGGAGTCTCACAAGTCGTCCATTCGTTTCCTTCAAGTGGTAGTTTGTTATTGGCATCTGCAACATATCACAACAACAACAATAAATGCACATTAATATCAACCATCAAGCAATCCTCATTCATATGAAGGTGAATTCATTCACAGAGCAAGCGAGTAGTGGTAGCGGTTGCAGCTATGGGACATTTTTTTTTGCCAGTCTCAAAAATAAGAAGAGGCTTCACTGTCCTTTCTGGCAAGAAGACAGGAGTTGTGTGTGTGATTTCGATCTAAAATTCCCCTCCCTTACCTCCCACCTCCCTCCCCCCATCGTCACCCACCCACCCTCCACACCACCACCCCCAGAACGACACAAGCCCACACATACACCTCATTATCAAAACCCTCATCTTCATCATCACCGGCACACCACTCGATCGCAGCAGCCCAGATCAGCACAACAGGGCAAATTTGGCCAACATCTAGGGGTAAGTGGAAAAAGTTAGTGAGGCAAGTGGTAGAAGCAGCCACGGGAACATCGGTTTTGGCCGGAGTGGCAACCGATTAAAATAATAATGGCCCAGGGCTGTGTTGAGACGCCGTCAGGGAAAAGAACATATTTTTTGCGGCCTGATGCGGAGACAGGAAAGGCCGCCAGAGTACACGCCCCGGTGGGAGAGTCGATGACGATTCCACCGCGAGCGCTGGTGTTAATTCCCTTGAGAATTATTTTATTATGTTTTATTTTTATTATTTTATTACTTCTCTTCTACGTGATGACTTTACCGAAAGAACCAAGAAGATAAAAAGTAAGAAGAGCCACTTTATCAGGACACAGCCACAGTACGGGACGCTGGGCCTCGATCTTGTTCTTAAACTTGTCTTCCCTCGAACGTGCCCTCCCCCTGTGTTCTGCCCTTTTATTACACGCTTTTTATTAACTCACTGAGTCTGTTGTATCCTCAAATCTTGTAACTCAATTTCTACCCACTTCCAAATGTGGTATCGACTGCGAACTTGGTATACTTATGTCATACTGATGACAATACTATATTATATCATTAAAATTAAAATAGTTTTAAACATTATTTTTTATATGTTTCAGCTTGGGTCTAATTGTCCACGCTCAACTTACGTTGGCTGTAAATCACCACGGTCCCTTACGTTATGGCAAGCTTCCTGGTCACTTCTTGGAGTCGTGGAGTTCTTTCATTACTAGTACGATACATTTCATTAAAGCGTGTTTAAAAAGAAGTGTTTTTTTTATATTACTTATATGTAGCATCCTTTCTGGAATGTTCCCTCGCTGTATTTCCCCTTAGCCAATCCCTGTCGTTCCCCTCCAACGGATCCCAACCTTCGCCTCTGGGTTCCACTTCTGTTTCCTGCCAATTCTCCTTTAGACCCTTTTCTCCAATCACTTTAACATACTTCCTCCCGACCAATCCCTGTGGAGGCCTCTTTCGGCCAATCGGAGACCTTGGTTTATTGTCGAATATCCATTAGGCTGCACATTTACTTGGGGTAATTTTTCTGGAATTACAGTAGTGTCGTGTATAGTTGTATTATGTACAGCAGTGTTTCGCAGTGTAGTGCATAGCAGTGTATAGTAGTGTTGTATAATATCGTAGTGTATTGATTGTAGTGTAGTGTATAATAGTGTAGTGTATAGTAGTGTATATTCGTGTAGTGTATAGTAGTGTAGTGTTTTTTAGTGTATAGTAGGGTGTAGTGAATCGTGTAGTGCATAGTAGCGTAGAGTAGTGTATAGTAGTGTAGTGTATAGTAGTGTAGTGTTGAGTAGTGTATAGTGTAGTGTATGGTAGTGTATATATTGTAAAGTATAATAGTGTAGTGTATAGTAGTGTATAGTGTAAAGTATAATAGTGTAGTGTATAGTAGTGTAGTGTATAGTTATGTAGTGGATAGTGGTGTAGTGTATAGTGTAGAGTAGAGTGCAGTGGATAGCAGTGTATAGTAGTGTTGTGTATAGTAGTGTGTAGTGTATAGTGGGGTAGTGTATATAGTGTAGTGTATAGTGGTGTATATAGTGTAGTGTATAGTGTAATGGTAGCTCTCGCTGTTCAATAGGCTGTATGTCTCTGCCATTAACGCAGCTGCTGTGCGTGCGTATGGCGACGATGCTCCTTTGCATGTCTGACCCCGCCTACTTACCCTTGGTTGACACCCACCTCAAACCTCTTGTTGCAACAGCCGTTTCTCGTTCAGCAACTCCACTGCTGTATCTTTCTACCTGATGACGATTGCATGTGTTGCGATCAAAACGTTGTGATTTATTATTTATTTTTATTTTTACCTACGTGACTTTACCGAAAGAACCAAAGAGTATAGTGTATAGTGTGGTGTATAATAGTGTAGTGTATAGTGGTGTGGTGTATAGTAGTGTGTAATCTAAAGTGGTGTGTGTATAGTGTAGTGTATAGTGGTGTATATAGTGTAGTATATAGTGTACTGTATAGTAGTGTAGTGTGTAGATGTGTAGTTTATATAATGTAGTGTATAGTGGTGCAGGATATAGTATTGTATAGTAGTGTAGTGTATAGTGTAGTGTATTGTAGTGTAGCGTATAGTGTAGTGTTTCGTAGTGTACTGTGGAGTGTATAGTGCAGTGCATAGTAGTGTTGTGTATATTATAGTGTAGTGTATAGTAGTGTAGCATATAATGCAGTGTACATTAGTGTAGTGTGTAATGGAGTGCATTCTAGTGTAGCGTATTGTAGTGTAGTGTATAGTAGTGTAGTGTATAGCCGTGTAGTGGATTTTGGTGTAGTATATAGTGTAGAATATAGTGTAGTGTATCATGTAGTGTAAAGTAGTGTAGTGTATAGTGTAGTTTATAGTAGTGTAGTGTATAGTGTAGTTTATAGTAGTGTAGTGTATAGTGTAGTTTATAGTAGTGTAGTGTATAGTAGTGTAGTGTATAGTGTCGTGTATCGTGTAGTGTATAGTAGTGTAGTGTATAGTGTAGTGTATAGTAGTGTAGTGTATAGTGTAGTATATAGCAGTGCAGTGTTTAGTGGAGCAGTGCAAAATGCACCGTACGAGCAGGGGGGACACCACTCACAGTGAACGTCGACTCTGACTTCTGCGCTGGGGCTGCGTCCGCACGCGTTGCTCACGACGCAGCCGTAGTGACCCACGGCCCCATTGTCGACGGAGTTCATCGCCAGCGAACGGTTGCCCCTCGTGTCCTCCCCCAAGGGGCAGCCGTCTCGGAACCAGCTCACGGTCACGTCGTCGCCGCTTCCGCTGCTTCCGTCGGGCACGCGACAGCTGAGGGTGACGTTGCCGCCCTCGACGATGCGGTTGGGGTGGACGTCTATAGACGGCATGGGCGGTGGCCCTGCAAGGCGAAGGAAATTAAATCAAACGGACAACGACCGTCTAGCCGCGTCGCACGCACTTTCAGATGCATTGTACACTACTATACACTACACTATACACTACTATACACTACTACACACTACACTTTACACTACACTATACACTACTATACACTACACTATACACTACTATACACTGCTATACACTATACACTACACTATACACTACACTAAACACTACACTATACACTACACCATACACTACACTACTACACACTACACAACTATAGACTACACGATACACTACACCATACACTGCACTATACACTTGACATTACACTACTATACTACAATACACTACACTATACACTACTATACACTACGTTCGGTGCCAAAGAAGTTCAACATACATACATACATATGTACGTATGTGTAACAGCACTTGCCCTCAATAGCCTGTTAGAGGCTACATGGCGGGGGGGGGGGTCCTTTGTCTTTGTGGACATGTAACCAGCGCCGTGATGGCTAGGAGATGTTAACTACCTCGCCTGGTATGCAGGAGGTCGTCAATTCGATCTCGACTCTGACGATACCTGCTGTATATTTGGAGTTTGCATCTCTCTCTCTCTCCGTGGAGATGTTAACTACCTCGCCTGGTGTGCAGGAGGTCGTGGATTCGATCTCGACTCTGACGATACCTGCTGTATATTTGGAGTTTGCATCTCTCTCTCTCTCCGTGGAGATGTTAACTACCTCGCCTGGTATGCAGGAGGTCGTCAGTTTGATCCCCACTCTGACGATACCTGCTGTATATTTGGAGTTTGTATTTCTCTCTCCCCGTGGAGATGTTAACTACCTCGCCTGGTATGCAGGATGTCGTGGGGTTGATCCCGACCCTTACGATACCTGCTGCTGCTGTATATTTGGTATCTGTGTGTCTCCCTCTCCCCGTGGTGGTCGCGTGGATTTTTCCCCGGGTCCTCCGGTTTTTTCCCTCCACATTTAAAATTAACATCACCACGGGATTAGAGTTTTTAACTGCTGCTATGTATTCCCACACGATGATTATGATATAAGCCACTTGGTTGAGCTGCTATGATTGGGTCGCTTGTCTGAAAGAGAAGCTACACAGCTGCTCAGTGGTGGGGCCTCTTTACACCTGGCACAAGAAAAAAAAACAGTTGATCAATAAACCGACGTGAACGTACCTGTGACGCGCAAATCATACGACTGGCACTTCTTCAAAGTGTGATTGTGTTTGTATTCCAATTCGTAGACTCCCCGGTCTCCGTCGCCCACCACTTTGAGCAGCAGAGACATGTCAGCGGTGAGCTCCACTCGCCCCTTGTAGTTCGGGGTGGGTTCTTGAGACGACCAATCAGACGCTCGGACCAGATCGTAAATTATTATTTTTTTGTCTCCCTTTCGCATCACGTTCCAGCTCCACCTGGCTCCGTCCGGAATGGTGCACCTCCGTCGGAGGGTGACGGACGCTCCGGGGCAACTGGCGACGGATTCGAGAGCACCCACGGGACCTGCGGAACGAAAGAGGGAAAAAAATTACACGGCACGCATTTGTACGTTACACGATACACTACTATACTCTACTATACACGACACTATACACGACTATGCACTGCACTATGCACTGCACTATACACTACACTATATACTACACTATACACTACTATACACGACACTATACACGACTATGCACTGCACTATGCACTGCACTATACACTACACTATATACTACACTATACACTACTATACACTACACTACTAAATTCTAATATACATTACACTATACACGACACTACTATACACTACACTACTATACGCTATTATACATTACGATACATAATTGGGGCCGTCCATGAATGACGTCACGCGATTTTGTCCGGTTTTTGACCCCCCCCTCTCCCCCCCCCTCGTCACACGACGTCACACGACGTCACAAAAAGTCAGACCCCCCTCAAATATGACGTCACAAAGCTCTGCCCCGCCCCCCCCAAAACCATATTTCCATTTTGCACTATACACTACACTACTAAAGACTGAACTATTAAAAAATTTATATGCTTCAAATCACTTTAAACTATTATCATTGTAGTGCGTATTTAATGTGGCGCTGCACTCTGATGTTGTAGGGAAACACGTGTATTAAAAATGAGGCGTTGGAAAGCTGAAATTTAGCATAAAAATAACTTGAAAATATTCAACGTGTAACTAAAACTACAGATCTTCAGAATATCATATTGAAATTCTGTCGTAATTATAAAATATTAAAAGTAATTATAACTATGAAAAAATAATTGTAACTTTATAGTAAAACGAAGCAAAATGGAGAGGGCAATTATAGCAATCACATATTCATTTCACAGAATTAAAAGCCCTGGTAGAATCATTAGAATCAAAATATTTAATAACAATCATTAAAAAAATTTACAAAATTTATGCTTCTCCATTCTCCCATGGAGAAACGAAATGCTCCTTCATGGAATAAATAATAGGTGGCCTTAGTAAATTTAAATAATCAAATAAATGATAATTAAAATTTATAAAAATGTGTGTTGTTATAACAATTATATTTAATTATTAATTATTTAAAGTTGCGCATTTTGACATGACGTCACATTTCTGAACCCCCCCCCCTCTTCACACATCGTCACAAATGTCTGACCCCCCTCCCCCCCTAGGTGCGTGACGTCATTTACGGACGGCCCCATTATACAGTACACACGATACACTACACTATACACTGCACTATACACTACACTACTATAGACTGGACTACTATACACTACACTCCATAATACAGGTTTGTTTGGGTTAGATCGCGTAAATATATAAATGTGTCATTAAACCCGCCACCGCCCGACACAGCCAATTAGTAAGGTTTGTCACGTAAACAGAACATGCCAATTCGTCACGAGTACAATCTGAGAATGACGTTTTTCCAGTAATTACAACTAGCTTCATCAGGCAACAGTCACATTTGTGGAGAAATCTTCCTGTATCGTTCCTTAAATAGACGGGTAGATGTGATCACGACACTCGTGAGCACTTTTAGCGCGAATTGGGAGGTGATTCATGAATGCATATAAATGACTATGGGTATCCATTTCATTTTTGGTTATTTTTATGGTAATCAACCTATATTATGCATGCGGATTTGTTCTAATACCTCCTGTCGATTGTGTGCACTAAATTATGATAATAGTTTTTTGTCCCTTTCTGGAAATAAAACAGCAGGTTGTGTTAAGATGTTACAATACCAAACTGAAACCTTAGCAAGGAATGATGTCTGCATTAACCACATCTACTTGTGGTAAACATGCAAAAAAACATGCTCTGATAGTATATGCATTGTCTTTGAAACTGATTGGTCCACACCAGAGACAGTTTTCTTTAGAGCCTGGTCTCAAACAGTGTTCGACCGGAGGACGCCAAAAGGCGACCAGCACAAAGACAATGTCACTATCAGGACATTGAGAGCTCGGGGAGAGCAGCTACAACATGAGACCTCCTTTGCACGTATTAAATTATGATAATAGGTTTTTCCCCTTTCTGGCAATAAAACTGTTGTGTTAAGATGTTAAAACACCAAACTGAAACCTTTGCAATCCTAGCACATGTATTGCAATTAAGTGCGAACCATGACAACTCAAAGGAGGACGGGACTGCTTGAATCCAACACAGTGGTCAAAATAAACAGGAGGCCTCACGGATAGATTAGATGAACATAGACACTGCACGATTGCCACCCACATAGACCACGCAGCTACATTCTATGCTACACACATTCCAAGATGTATTTATCAAACGCAAATATGATCTTGGGTGCACTCATCTTTTTAAGCACCACATAGAAACGGGGGAATCTGCGCCTCATGAGCCCCACCGAACAACTACACATTCAGGATAGCGTCAGAGAAATGTTAAAGGCCGATATTAAATCACTATCAAACAGACAATGGGGGTGGCACCAGTTGTCCTTGTGCGAAAAACAGATGGCGCATTAAATAAGGTCACATTGGCAGATTAATACCCCATCGCCCGCATCGACGGCTCGTTCGAAGCCCTCTCCGGGACAAAACATTTTCTCCACACTTGACCTTTTCTGCAGGGACTTTACCATTTTAACTTTTTTGCCGATGGGGTTACATACGACCCTGGCCACATTTCAACGTCTCATGGAGCTGGTGTCGGCAGGCTTCGAATGGGAGACCTGCCTCGTCGTCTACCTCGGTGATGTTATCGTGCTCACAAACACTCCCGACGACCACCTTAATCGCTTGAGTCAAGTCTTCTCTAGGATCCGGCAGGCTAACCTGAAATTAAAACCAGCCAAATGCCACCTGGCACAGACATCAGTCCGGCACCTAGGTCATGTAGTCAGCCGAGAATGCCACTGACCCCTCACAAACCGCCTGCATACAGGAATGGCCTACGTCTACATCAGCGCCCGAGGTCAGACGATTCCGAGGATTCGTCTCACACTACATGAAATTCGTCCCACAGTTCGCTACCATAGGCCAACCCCTACATGCACTTATTGGAAAAGGGAAAATATTTATGTGAGGAACTGCAGAGCAAACATCATCGAAACGTCGTGAGAATGTAATTGTTTTATTTGTATAATTGTATTATTTCCCTTCTACGTGACTTTACCGAAAGAACCAAGAATGTCATTGACACTATTCACTATGAACTGCACTACTATACACGACTATAAACTACACTACTATACACGACTATAAAGTACACTTCTATACACCACAGTATACAGTACACCACTATACACTCCACCATTATATACTACGTTATCCAGTACACTACTGTTCACATCACTACTATACACTACACTGCTATGAACTACACTGCTATACATTACACGACTATACACTACACTACTATACAGTACACGGCACACTATAAACTATTATACACTACACTATTATATACTACACTGTAAACTACTATACACTGCACTATACACTACACTATAAACTAT